ATGTATACTTTAATCTTAAAGAATTTAGAGTTTGGAATACACACACCCGTTAAAATTATTGACGAAGACAGCCAGGTGTTTAAGGCGAGCGGAGTAGGGGCAAGAATTTAGGGTTAATTTTCCCCTAATGCTTCTTGTTAATTTAAAACAAAACCAAAGCTTTAAACTGACACATATGTTTCTTTTTTTTTTAACATGGAAAGGCAAGCCGAAGCTTGAGGAAAATAACGCCTTAAAAGGCTACACAAACGAACAACAGAACAATCATGTTAACATCTTGTCTTCCAGGAATATTCCCTTGCAACCGTTAGGCACCTCCCAAGAGAGAATCATTTCTGTCAATCCTGTGTGGCCCTGTCTTGCCATGAAGTCTGCACATCTGGTGTTTTCTCAGTGGGTGTGGAAAACCTGAATATTCTGGTCTACATAGATCATCTCCCTTAACTCTATTATGAGTTCTCGAAGAGGATGCTTGGTAGTATTGCCTCTCCAAAGGAGGTTAACTGATTCAAGTGAGTCTGTGTAGATTAGTAAGTTTCCTAACCTCAGATTCTTCCCAAGAGTTATTCCAGTGTGAAGCGCCCGTAGCTCTGCCTCCAGTACTGAGCATGTGCCTATATCTTGATGGAAGCCTATCAGCCATTCACCTCTGGAGTTTCAAATGACGCCTCCACAAGCAGCTTGTTGTCCTGGCCACACTGATCCATCTACGTCTATACGGACTGAGTTTTCTAGTGGTGGTGTCCATCGGCTTTCGTGTGCTTCTATTCCCCAAAAGACTTGGTGTTTGAGTTCATTGTTGATGACGCATTCTGTCAGTAGGTGAGAGCATTTATGAACAATCTCTTTGGGTGATGAAGTGTTTCCTTCGAAAACTTTTCGACATCTGGATGTCCACAGCAACCAACATACCAAGCTGAACACGCGAGGCCAAGACCAGCTTTTGAATCTTTTGTTGGCCGGGCTATGAGTCACGTTCCACTGCAACCATTCCTGCAAAGAACCAGTAAAAAAACTAGGAAAAGAGTTAGATTTTAAAAAATATTTCCACACTTCTTTTACTCTGTCGCAATCTCTCAAGGTGTGTATACTGCTCTCCTCACGATGGCACTCAAAAGGACACTCATGAGATGAAGCTAAACCTCTTTTAGCTCTGAGTGAATTGGTAACTAATCTGTCATGAGACATCTGCCACATAAAAGTTTTAACCTTCTCCGGTAGTTGCCATTTCCAAAGTCTTTTCCAGAATTGGTTTTGTGAGGGATCACCATTCTGACGTATGAACTCGTAAGCTGCTTTAACAGAGAAGCAGCCTTCTTTATCGTTCCTCCACGTAAATCCATCTTGCACTTGAAGGTTTGGGGGTGTTATCTTGGTGAGAGTTGAGATTACCTGTGGTGGTAGGATTGTGTACCAAGAATCTACATTCCATCTTCCATTCGGTAGAATATGGTCACAAACTTTGTCCTGGTCATTGAAAGCTGTTCCGGGACAGGTATAGGCAGCAAGGGGGAGGTCTAGAGGGTGCCAAAGGTCTCGCCAAAATTGTGTGTTTCGGCCATTGTTCACTTTCCTTCCTACTCCCTTTAGAAACTGATCCCAAACTCGTGTTATTGATCTCCAAGTAAGGGACGCATAGCTTTTGGGTACAATCTCAGGAACCTCATTTGTCCCACATTTGTATTTGGCTTTTAAACACTGAACCCAGAGTTTATCAGGTTTAGTTAACATGTACCAGCAGATTTTCATCATAAAGGCAGCATTTTGACTTCTCAGATCCTTCATCCCTAAACCCCCCAACTCTTTTGGTTGTTTAATTACATTCCAGGCAATAAGATGCATTTTGCGAAGTTCTTCATCTTGGCTTCATAGGAATTTCCTGCTAAGCTTTTCAATTTCATCAAGCACACCAGGGGAAATGAGCGTTGACTGCATTTGGTAGCTGGGGAGAGCTGTAATGACCGACTTGATTAAAACTGAACGACCAGCAAGGCTCAAAAATTTGCTCTTCCACATAGAGAGTTTCCGCTTAACCTTCTGAGTTAAGGGTCCATAAACCTCTTTAGTAATTCTGCCATGTATTATAGGAACACCGAGGTATTTGCCTAGGTCAGCTGTGACACCCACACCCAAGGTTTGACTCAGATCAATTTTCCGATTGTAGTGGATAGAGGCAGAACAGAACATTTTGGATTTCTCTAGATTTATTCTATGACCAGACACTGCACAAAAATCCCCCATTACCTTTTTGACAACTTCCATTTGGCTTGTGGAGGCTTCCATGAAGAGGAGTAGATCATCTGCAAAGAACAGGTGTGACAGGGTTGGTCCTCCTGCTTTAAAACTGAATGGTTTCCACCGTTTAGCTACACACTCGGTTTTAATTCTATGACCCAGGCATTCCATGCAAAGAACGAATAAGTAGGGGCTAAGGAGATCCCATTGTCTGACTCCCCTTGAAGGTGAGAATTCCGGTCCTTCCTCTCCATTCCATAATACTTTCATGGAGGCTGTAGTAATGGAGGCCATGATTACTGCAATGATTCGTTGGTCGATGCCGAGACATAAACCCCAATCCAATCTGTCAAAGGCTTTCTCCATGTCCACTTTGATAGCCACATAACCTTTTTTCCTCTTCTGGGTTCTCATGGAATGAATGATCTCTTGGGCAAGAATGATATTGTCGCAGCTTGATCTCCCCGCAATAAAGCTGCATTGCTCTTCATTGATCAACTTATCCATAACTCTTCTGAAACGACTAGCAAGCAATTTGGTAAGAATCTTCAAGCTTACGTTACAAAGAGAGATAGGTTGTAGCTCTTTGAGAGACGTGGGGTATTCCGATTTAGGAATCAGCACAATGTTAGCTTGGTTTAGTCTCCCCATTTCTTGCGGATGTTGGAAGAAGTAGTTAATCTGATCACACATCTTTTCCCCATCCCATTGAGATTGGAAAAAGTGTGGTTGTAACCCATCTGGGCCTGGGGCTTTCAGTGCATTCATAGCGAAGGCAGCATTATTAATTTCCACCCGGTCAATAGGTCTAGAAAGCCAGGCCAACTCTATCTCGTCTAAGGTTGGAAAATGAGAGACCCAACAGGAAGGATTTGTCGTTGACGTATCCTTCGTATAAAGGTCTTTGTAAAAATCAGAAGCCATTTGTTTGAGGGTGTCAGAGTCTTCTATCCAGTCCCCATTGCTGTCTTTCAAGGCATCGATCCTCTGTCTTCTTTTCTTGATGGTAGCAGATGCGTGAAAAAACTTAGTGTTTCTGTCACCCCATTGTAACCAGCGGCAACGGGATTTTTGGTACCAGTACAGTTCCTCTTGTGCTGCCAATTTGTGGTATTCCTCCCAAAGTTTGTCTTCAAGTCGTTTGAGGCCATTTCTGGGATTTTGAAGTCTCTCCTTGTCAATTCCTTCCAATCATTTTAAAATTTCTCGTTTTTTTTACAGAAGTTCCCGACTTGTTTTTCGTTCCAAGCCCCTACTGTTTCCTGAAAGGTTTTTGACCCATCAATCTAGTCCCGATCAGCCCAAGAGGAATTAACCACCTCTTTAAAGTCTGGTTCTAGCGACCAGGCTGCTTGGTACGAGAACCGTCTCTGTTTGAGGTTGTTACAGGCACCCTGGTTGGAATTAAGAATAAGGAGCCTATGGTCTGACTTGAAACGCAGCTCATGGGAGACTGTCGATTTGGGAAAAGTAGAGAACCATGCAAGATTACCAAAGGTCCAATTGAGTCTCTCTTTTAAGCCCGTTCGTTCCCAGGTGTAACGATCCCCTGTGAAGTCGATCTCCATCAGCCCATTGTCCTGGATGCAGTCTGTGAATTGTTTCATAGATGTCTCTGAGGCAGTACTGCCTCCCAATTTGTCTCCAGGGGATATGTAGGCATTAAAGTGCCCAAGAGTTACCCAGGGTTCTGTGGTGGTATGGGCGATGTCACTTAGAGTGTTCCAAAGTAGAGTTCGGCCTCCAACACTAGTTTCGCCGTAAACCGTAGAAAGTTTGAAAGACATATTGGACGTCCGCTCTATCACGTGGCAATGAAGAATTTGAACATTCGAGCATATATATTTTACTGATAGGTTGGAGTCATTCCATAAGATCCAAATCCCGCCAGCGTAACCATTAGCTTCTACTCGCAGCCAGTGATTGAAACCCAAGCATCTGACTACTTTGTCTGCCCGGGGGCCACTAATTCGAGGTTCCATCAAGCACAAAATATCAATATGGTACTTCTTAGTTATGTCTTTAACTATGTTTGGGAAGGTCTGGCTACCAGCCCCCTGCAGTTCCATGAGGCAATAATCATGATGATAATAAGACAGATGAGAAGAGGAGGCTTACTGAATATCCTCATCATCCGGAATTCTATGCTGTGTCTCGGCAACAATGGTGCCCAATTCCATCTCCTGATCACCATCTTCAGTAGGGGCATCTTGCGAGGGATCAGGTGGTCTTCCATCTCTTGTCTCACGGTGAGGGGTCGCTTGAGAGGAGGAAGGAGGTGCGTTAGACGCGTGCGGGTCATTTTGTGCTTCAGATCGGCATATTGCCTTTGACACATATGTTTCTGGTCAAAAAATTGACATATATGTTAATTAAATTCTTTTTTATCCAAAAAGAACAATTAAACTTTTAAACCCCATACATCAATAATCGGATATATTATCGCAGATATGCCGACATATATTTGTATAATGAAATTTATTGTAAATTTCCAAGATAAACATTTTAATGTTATATCTGTTCTAACATGCATTTTTTTTAAGGCAGATTTGCAGGGTGTTTGGATATTATGAAAAATATTTTTTTTAAATATTTTTTTACAAATCTAGATAAACTCATCTACATATTTATTTTGTACACCGTAAAAATATGGTTCGGTTCCCATAAAAACTCAAAAGGTGAAGTGGGCGATAAACAACGACAACACCTTACGATATTCCACGTTTCTTTCTCCCTATAAACTCCTCTATTTAGGGGTTTTCTGCACTCTGCTCATTTCTCTCCATCCATCCTTCAAGTTCTCAACTTTTCACTCTCATGTCTTCCCCCTCTCGTCTCTCCCGGATTACCAGATTCTGCACATAAATCTGGGAAAAGGGTCTCTGAATTGAAGCTGTTGAACTGTGTATAGCAAAGAAGAAGATCGGATGGACTTGCCTCCTGGCTTTCGGTTTCACCCAACAGATGAAGAGCTCATCACTCATTATCTGTTCAAGAAGGCCACTTTCACAAACTTCTCTGCTATAGCCATTGGAGAAGTGGATTTGAACAGGTCTGAGCCTTGGGATTTGCCACGTAAGTAAACTGATCAAAATCTATATCAAGCCTGATGATTCTCTTCACAAGTTGGTTGGTTTTTATTTGATTTGAGCTTTTGTTTTGAAGGGAAAGCGAAAATGGGAGAGAAAGAGTGGTATTTTTTCTGCGTGAGAGACAGAAAATACCCAACTGGTTTGAGAACCAACAGAGCTACTGAAGCAGGGTACTGGAAGGCCACAGGGAAAGATAGAGAGATTTACAGAGGGAAATCGCTGGTGGGGATGAAGAAAACTCTGGTTTTTTACAGAGGAAGAGCACCAAAAGGAGACAAATCCGATTGGGTCATGCATGAATTCAGATTAGATGGTAAATTCTCTGTCCACAACCTCGCCAAACCTGCAAAGGTGCGAACTCTCCAGCTTTACTTTCTCTTCACTGCTTGTTCAACTCAATTTTCTCTTCTTAACGGGATTAGGTATGATTTCGCAGAACGAGTGGGTTATTTGCAGGGTGTTTCGGAAGAACTGTGGCGGCAAGCAAATCCATATGAGGTTTGGATCCACCGGAAATGGATTGGGTTCTTCAGTTTTACCACCTCTCGCGGATTCTTATTCTCCTTACGTTGGGAAGACCGAACCCAAGATGACTGAATCGGCATGCGTGTCCTGCTTCTCCATTGCAATCGATGATCAAAGAAACCAAGGAGGGATCTTTGATTCCTTAGGAAACTCCCTTTTGGGGATTCCTTCAAATCCTCCAGAAATCCTGCCAAGAATCCCTCTTCCTGGATCATCCTATTGTTCTCAACCTTTTCAAGCCCCTTCAAATTTGCCCATGTCAGGTCTTGCTTTCTCTGGGCAGGACCAGAACCTCCTGAAGGCTTTTCTTGAAAACCAAGGATCAAACTTGAGAAATGGTTTTAACTCCAAGGGAGAACAAATTGCAACTCTTTCACAAGAAACAGGTCTCAGCCTCACCACTGATATGAATCCTGAAATCTCTTTTGTGATATCAAGTTTTGATATGGGTAGGAGGGCTTTTGAGAATCATCAGCAAAACCTCTCTGCTTCTTCTGCTGACCCAGTGGACCATGATAGCTTGTTGTGGAAACACTAAGACCAAATGAAGACGAGTGTGAAGTCAAGATGAACAAGCTATGGTATGGAATATTGATGTGGTGGTTAATTTCTGTGTGTACGAATATGGTTTGATGCGTTTGATATTAGTATATTTTGGTTAGTTAGGATTTGCTAGACAAGGAAAGTGAAAGTGGGTTTTGTGTGCAAGTGATGTGTGATTCATTTTGATGAATGATTTCGAGTTTGAATTTGTCAAACGGATCATTGGCTCATTCATTCAATCCACATTTCCCGCAAAGCAGTGATCCTCTCTTCTCATTTTGTCTAAAAATATACTCCTCCAGTCCTTAATATAAGACCCATTTAACTAATTTGATTATATTAATGATGTTAGTTAAGTTAGTTAATTATAAAAAATGTCACATGTTTTTTCTAAAATATCATAATCATCTTTCTTAATACCTAATCTTCTTCTACTACTTGATTATGGTTGAGGGAGTCTCTATAGGGGTAATTTAGAGAAAATTGATAAATATGAGAAATGGGTCTTACATTTAGGACCAAAACTAACTCAACAATTGGGTCTTATATTAAGGACCGGAGGAGTATATAATATTAATATGCGTCTCGTCTCTTCTTTTGTGCCATGTGCTGTTTTTATTTATGCCGCGTGATAATTAAAACCCTCCTCTTTCTCTATCTGATTCAAAAGCCCACTAATTTGAGTCCTCCACGCCTTGATCCCTATTTGTCGTTTACGTCTTTTTTTGTTCACACTAATTTTTCGTTTTGACGTCCTACAATCTTTCAAATAGAAACAAAATCCTTTTTATTTAGGGAAAATTGCAAAAAAAGACTTTAGAATTGTAAAAACGCAGATAGGACCATTGATAACTTCACTTTGGGTTTTGACAACTTCAGGGGAAATTGCAAAAAAAGACTTTGGAATTACAAAAACGCAGATAGGGACCCTTGACAACTTCATTCTGTGTTTTGACACCAAAGTAAAGTTGTCAAGGGTCCCTATCTGTGTTTTTGCAATTCTAAAGTCTTTTTTTGCAATTTTCCCTTTTATTTATAGGTATTTTTTCATTTTTTTCCCTGAGAAAGAAATGCATCCTTATAGCATAAATATTGTTTTTTTTTTTTTGCCAAGTGCGGTATAAAGAAGTCGATAATATGCTAAATAGCTAATATTGGGAGCCCTTTTTCTTATATTTTTGTAGAATAATTGTGTAAATTGTAAGAATGAGCTAAAATTTTACGTAATTCCAACAAATTTCGGAAAAAAATATCATATAATTTGTTTTGTGATTGCGAAAACCAGTTGGATGTTACAATCATTTCTACCATCTGGCATTTTTCTTCATCGATGAAAACTATATCACCTTCCCGCCAAAATAAAATACTACTTCCGATTTTAATTATAAGACCTTATTTTTGTAATCTAGAAACGAGGTCTTATAATTAGGACCGGAGATAGTACTTCGCAACTTGGTATAAATACTATGATGAATGAATATTGCTTTTAACTTCAGCACCTTTTTAGAATATCATTTCATAATTAACACTCCAGCTGTCCTAAATATAAGAGTGTAATTTATTACCTTTGGTCATAATTATAAGACCTTGTTTATAGCCTACAAACGAGATCTTATAATTAGAATCAAAAGTAGTATGTTATAAAATAGGTTTTATATTTAAGACTAGAAGATACACCTTGCAACTCTCAAATGGAGGGTTGTGAGCACAGACTTAAAGGGTCAGATACTTAGATGTACATGAAAAATTAAAGGGAATAATAGTTACTCTTTTTTCTTTCAATTTTCTTTTATTTTGCTCATCTTTGTCATCCCAAATCTCTCGACGGGCCAAGAATTTTTAAAAATTCCAACTTGAAGGTTCACCCTACCTATTATTTATAGCTTTGAAATCTTGTAGGAGAGAATCCAATTCGTTGAATGAATATTAAATGAACTTAAATTAATTAGAAAATACCAAAAAAAAAAATTCAGGATATTAAAGTCATTTACTTCATGCACCTACCATTTTCATCACCTGAAATTTGTGTATTATTGGGCCGGGGCCCACTCCCACTCAACGCTTGAGCCAAGTGAATGAGATTTTTTGCGTGAGCTCCACGGAGGCCGATGTCGCCTCAGGGGCCTGTTTATTAATTTGTTTGTTCGTCAATTTTTAATTTTCAAGCGAGTAATTTTAAAGCTGTTCAGCCCTTGTCATAACATTCTGTCTTAAGTAGTTGTATATTAAGGATAATGGAATTTTTATTCCTCAATTTGCTTCAGTTATCCCTTTGGGCCTTAAAATTTAATATACAATGATTTCTTTTTGTGTTATTCCTCTTTCAAGTTATGAGAACTAATTGAGTACATGTGTCTATGAAGCTTCCATACCATTTGCATATAATATTTTTTTTTCCTTGCCAAGTACAGATATTCTTCAACTAAGAAGTAATCTTACTCGAGATATTGTCAAGTATTAAATGTGAATATTTCTCTTAGCAGGAATTTCAAATATTAATTCGTCACGTTATGAGAAACTAACTCTTTTTATTAAATTCACCTTTTGTTAGTCATATAATAGAACTGTGTTCGAGGAGGGATTGGAATTCATATTAATGTATGTATACTTGATTCGTTGACTTTAGATTCAACTTATGTGGACTCTCACAGCTTTTCGTGGGTTGGCGTATTTGTGTAGTGGTTTAGGGCCACACACATTTCGTCATGCTCCCACTATATAGCACTTTGGATGATCAACGTCCAAAAATAATTAACCCTATTTTGGTACAAGAAAAACAAAAGGGGGATATAGAAAATTTTAATAAGTTTAATTTTAAAAATCCAAAGAGGTGAGGCTAGAAAATTTTAATAAAGATCATATGTAACATTAAAAAAATTAATGAGAAAATTTTAACATTATTTTTTTTAATTTTTTAATTCGAGCCTATTAAAAATTCTCCTCTCCTCACCTTCTTCTCATTTCCGTGGTACCATATAGACTTAAATCTCTTGCTATCATCATCACCAACAAGACCATCTTCTTACAGTGCGGATGTTATATGTCATTGATTCCATTTATTTATTTATTTATTTTCGTATTTGTCTCGTTGATGGGGTGGCTAATGGATATATAACTGTAGCCTGTAGGTTAAATGCTCTTGTTGACCCTAAATATAAATTTACTCCTTCGGTTCTTGATATAAGATCTATTTAACTAATCTGATTCGATTAAGGAAGTTACGTAAGTTAGTTAATTATAAGAAATATGATACATTTTTTCTAAAACACCATAATCATCTTCCTTAATATCTTCTCTTCCTGTTCTATTTGATTATGCTTGAGGGAATATCTATAAGGATGATTTAGAAAAAATTGATAAATATAAAAAATAGATCTTATATTTAAGACTAAAATCAACTCAACATTAGGTTCTATATTAAAAACTAAAGGAATATTTTATAGTGTAATTTATATTTAGAACAGGATGAATATATCAAGAATTGCGTAAGTTTCAACCGGATTCTTACTCTTAAGATGTATGGGAATCGCATGGTATAAGAGCGTTGAAAGAGTAGGTGAAACAGGAAACGGGGACAGGTACACACATACGAGAACAACGGCTTGCTCCGTTGACGTCTCTTCTTGACTTGTAGCGGAAATTCTGCCAATTCCTTCCATGCATCATTCGTCTCTCCACTTTCCACTTTTCAAACACCACCCATTATTCATATACGTGTGTGTATACTCCAACTGGCTAAGAAGAAGAAGTGTGTGTTGTGTTTGGGTGTGTTAGGTTTTGAAGCTATGATTAAAAACACTTATAAACACGTTATATATAGATAAAAATACTACTCTTCTTACATATTTATATTTATTTCTATTCAGTAAATTATCATTGAAAAGCTGTTTATAAGTTATTTTAAACGAAATCTTAGTAGTCTAATTGGTGAAAAAACACACATACAATTAAACGTATGTATATATTATCTTCGATCTTAATTATAATATCTCGTTTGTAACAAATAACATCTTATAATTAAGACCGGAGATAATATATTCTTCAATGTACACACAAAACAAAATTCAGATATAGTTTTAATCGTTAAAATGTGGATGTGCGCTTATGATTTAAGTTTTATCTATATATATATGTGAATTCAAAAAATACACATATTCTCTCATGAAGGTGACCTTCGTGGCCCGAATTTCGAATATGCTTTCCATTATTTATTAGTTCTTTGCAGTATTCACACTCCCGCCGTTGCTGCTGTGCTGGAAAATATTTTGAAAGTGAGAGAGACCCCATGGCTCTTAACTAATGTTAATAATTTCAATATCCCAGAGGTTACCCCCAAAAAAAAAAAAATGTTGCCAAGGCTATTCCTTATCTACCCAATAATAATTGTGGTCGTATATAAAAATATGAGAAATCTATATAAGTTTTGGCTTTCTCTTTTTTTTTTTGGGTCTTAAATAGAAAGGGTTTAATTCCCTTTCAATGAAATTAACAATTTAAACGTTGCGGATTAAAAAAATCATGCTGCGAGGACGACTATTTAGATGGATCCAACGACGCTTCAAAAAAAGAAAATAGAAGAAAACACGCAAGTATCAATTGGTTCAATTACACAACCTTTTGAATTTTGAAGAAGTTCATATGAGCTGCTTGGTTGGTTTCGTATTTTTCAGAAAGTTAAAATTACTTTTTCAAAATATCCCCACTAATCCTAAATATAAAATCTATTTTGTAATATAATTTATACTATAAAATAAATTTTATATTTATAACCAAAAGAATATATTATACTATAAAATATGTCGTATATTTAGAAATATAAGGGTGTTATTTTTTTCACTTGAAAGACACAAACACTATGAAAGTAGAATTTACTCGGCTTTGCTCAGGGAGAATTTCCTTTCCTTGTGAGAAAAGTGCAAGGCTTGACTTGTGAAAAGATAAAATAAATTAAGTTTTCCAATTGATATGCTCAAATCATGCGAGGTTGTACATTACGTACATAATTTTCTCATTCTCTCCTGTTTTTCACTTATCTTTGTTCCAATCTTCTCTTAGTATTTTCTTTCACTTCCTCTTGGTTCAAAATTCAGTTAGGTTGCCTTTAGCGAACAACCTAAAACGTGCTTAAAGTGAAGGACATCTTTCACTCCTTAGATTCAAACCGCACTTAAGAGCCATTTGAATTAGCTTTTTAGACAGAATTAAAAATATATATATAAATTTTTTTATTTTGATTTGTGTAAAAATATTTTTTTT